CCTTTTGTATATAAAGCTCACTCAGATATGGTTGTCCTCATGGGTAGGTTTGTCGGTTCTGACATTCCATTAAGGTATTTCTGATAAGCACTCGGTCCCTCTTAAAATTACATTTTATGCTCAGATGATCATATTGATTGATCAAAATTTTTATTGCAGATAAGCACAATGATCAGATAAAATTTGATCAAGAAATTTGTCTTTTAAGTACAATCAATAAAGGAATGATGCGACAAAGATCAAATTATTCGATATGCGAGAGAAATGAATGAAGATCTGTAAGAACGAGTTTACAGATTCTAATAAAAAAAGTATATCAATCAAGAAAAAAATTCAGAAAAAAATCAACATTTGAATACAAACGAGTGTATTATCACTGAAAATGATTTTCATATAAGAGACATGATAATAACAGTTTGAAGAATAGCTGAAACAGGTATTGGAGTTATGTACGATGAGAAATTATGCAAGTACAATCTCAGGAAATACCTGATCAGAAAAAGTACTCGTTTCCCAAAAACAACTCATTTATCAAAAACTTTTATTGAAAAACTTCTAGAGACTCCCCCTAAGAAGTTGATTTCAGTAATGTTTCAGTTTAACTCAAAAGAATAAAAAATGAAAACATTTTAAGCACGAGTTCTAAACTGAGTGTTTAGAAACCACACTCGGTAAAGCACGGGTAGTAAACTGAAATGTTCAGAAGCCTCGTTTGGATCAGATTACAACTCCCCCTGCATTGGTGTATCACTGATATAATATTCTGATCAGCACAAACTTGACACACCTGCAAAATCAGATTAAGTAGATTTTGGTACCCAAATGAATTTGGGTCCTATTTTGTTAGTATCGGGTTGGGGTATGTTGTAACTTCCAAACCATCTATTTCTATTTGATGTATTCTTTTTAGCACTTTGAATAGGATGATCAGAAATAGAATATGACCCATACCAGTTATTGTGATCATACTTGTTCTTACCTTTCGAACTGTTCTGATAGCTGTTATCTCCATGCCACCTGTTGAACCTTTTCTTATTGACAAAATCATTGGCTCTGCATGTTGAGCACATAATTCTTCTCTTGCTAAGATTGATCAGATCATTAGTGGATCTCACAATGCAAGGAAGAACAGAGTTAGTAACAACAGGTGTATGAGATGAAACAGAATCAGCTTTGTTAACCCAAATGCTTTTAATCTTAGAAGATTTATTGGGTGATCTGATAACATATCCTTCATAATACTGATTAGAAGAACGAGAATAGTTCTTAGAAACAGTAGATTTAGGGCTGCTTGAATAATTGTTCGATTTGAAACAGTCAAATAAGCTAGTTTTACACTGTGAAGGAGAACCAATTGAGCTTTGTGCACAAGAAAAGTGTTTGACTTTCTGTAAAAGCTGGTCCCTTTCAGCAGTAACTAAATCAAACTTAATTTTAAGTTCAGTTCTCATCTTCAGCTCAGTTTCAAGGTCTGTCTTCAGATCAGACAATTTGCTTGTAGTATCCAGGAGTTTACCTTCTAACTCCTTCTGAAGCATTTCAAACTTTCTCTTCTGATTTATTAACTCTCTTTTTTCTTCATCTAAGCTGCTCTTATCATTCTCCGAAGCGATGTCAAGCCACTTTTTCTTATTAGCAAGCTCTTTAGCAATTGTTGTATATTTCTTTGAATTATTTCTCTTCTCAAGAGCAAATTGCTTCTTTTCTTCATCTAAGGCTTTCTGCTTTAGAGCAAAGCTTTCAGATAATTTCTGTATTTGGCTCTGACAGTCTTCTGAGATGTCTTTCTTTTCTTTATCATTCTTGGCCCGTTCCAAGATGATTAGCTGCTCAAAATTAGATATTTGCTTTAACAATATTTTGGCGTTTAGCACTAGAGAGTTTATCTTATTCTCATAAGATATACGTTCAGCTCCAAACTTTTTTTCTAATTCACACATTTTCTTCTTCTCCTTTTCAAATTCCATTCTTTCAGAACTGAAGCTCTTCTCAGCTTTCAGAGCTTTTTCCTTTTCTAACTCCAGTAATTTTTGTAACTCACTCAACTCACTCTCAAATTTATCAGTTAAGTCCTCTGTCTCTTTACTATTAACTTTCTCAGAACAAATGTTCACTTTTTGCAAATCTTGAAGTTTGTTGAATAACTTCTTATTCGCATCAACCCAAATTTTCAATTCTTTTTCACAATTTGACCTTACTTTATTCAAAATGTTTTTAAATTCGCAAGTCTTATCTGATAAAACCTTTTCAAAACATTCTCTTAAGGTTTTATTTTCTCCTTGGAGATTCTTGATAAACTCTTTACTTGCAAAATTCTCATCAAACAAATTAATATATTTTTCTTTGTAGCTCTCTACTCTTCTTTCCAATTCAACAACTTTCTCTCTCAATTCTTTATTCTCTCTCTCCAGAAAAACTGCCATTTAAAAAACCAAGATCAATCACAAAGATCTAATGCGATGAAATCAATAAAAATAAATCAAAAACATTTAAGCTCAAAAACACAATAGAAAAACACAAAAACTGTTGAGAAATCAGAAAAACAACGAAAAACTGTCTAAAATCAGTAAAAACAGTCAAAACTGTTAAAAACAATTAAAACTGATAAGAAACAGTTTACGCGACGAAAAATAGTTCAAAAATTTCTTAAACAGTTTAAAAACACAAACCAAAACAGATAAACTATGATCCAAAAATTAAAAACTAAAAAAAATAACAACACAAAAAGATACAAGCCCAAAACAGAGATCAAAACAGAATTAATGATCCAAGCCCAAATCAAGCTTACACGAAAAGGCAACGATTTGATCAACAAATTACAAGTTCAAATCCAGATACAATGATTACGCATACAAATAAGTCTTGAGCCCGGATAAATTCTCATGAGAGATTTAAGTCAAAATCTCTCAAGCTGTCATGATGCAACCAATGTTCTTCGAGTTCTTCTTCTAGACAGAAATTTCCGACTAGCTGCAATGCTTCCCTGTAGTTTATCCTCAAATGAGACCTGCAATGATACGCTACCCAAATCAAAATTATAGAATGTAATATATCCAAAACTAGAGATGAAACTACAAATAGAAATCAACAATTAACAAATAGCTATCTCGGAGTCTTGCTTCTGCCTTTGCTTTTGCCAATGGTGCTCAGCTGCTAATATCTCAATCACACGGGGCAGTGCTCGGCCTGCTGCATCAGTATCGAGAAAGACAAGTCGGGATCTTCTAGCAATAAAATCTACTGCAGATTCACAGTACTCATTTCAAGCACAATAAGCAACCTCATCTTTGACTTTTGATTACAATTATGAAACGATCATCAAAGATTACAGATGTGAATATCCCACATGTCATCTACCAACAGAACCTAATAAATCCTTTGGCAAGTAGTATAAGTTTACCAACCACAAGTCCAATACAAACAGTTCAAGTGGCAACTAGTGAAGAAGGCTTCAAATGTATTTATCTACACTTTGCAACTCAAACAACAAAGGAACTTGTCTTAAAAGATTAAGCTATGGAGTCTTATGAGAGTCATATACACAGTGTCACTTCCATCAATTTTATGCAACAACAACAGTAGGTAGGATGTTAGCCTTTGAATTACAACAGCCTTTGTGTGTAAGATACAGCTCAAGTGCAAATAATGAGAAATCAACAGCTGCTGTAATGTAAGCTACAGAGAAATATAACAATCAATGTTATTAATCATATAAATCGGACAATATGTCTTTAACATGTTAACCACAAACACAGTCCAAGACCAGCAAAACAAATCACCTGTGAATACCTGTGATCGAGAATGACCTTGAATACGGATGACTGGGTAAGATTGATAAACGAGGAATACCAAATCGCACAAGCTTATGTGTGATAAGTCATAAACCACAAAACTGCCTAACCTGCAATTTCAATCAATCCCGCTTACAATACCCATCAATTTACACAAGACAAGAACGTGATAAAAAACCCAAATCAGATGAACTTAAAATCTGATAAATCGATCAAGATGATATGCTGTCAAAGTGAAATCGAACAAGATTGACAGCAAATTGGATAAAATTGGACAGTGAAGTGAACGATTTAGACTTGAGATGAATGAGAAAGATCCTGCGATTTAGACTGTATTGACCGATTTACAACTGCGATTTACACTGTTGTGACTGACACTAAACCAAGTATAAATCGCTCAATATATGCTGTAAACCACTCAGGCTATGAGATGAGTATAAATTGCACACCACATGGTCTTAATTCGGTCAAGAGGTGTGCGATAACTAGCTAAATCGCCTACCACAGAAAGATTAATCGCTCAAGAGGTTTCTTAATCCGGTTAAGATCGCTCAAAGCACAGTCTATACCCGCTCAAAGTCTACTCACTACAAGATGTAGTCCGCTCACTAAATCGATCAAAGAGAATCTTAATCCGCTCACTAATCCGCTTATTGCAAACACTAAATCGCTTACTGTATGAAGCTTAATCCGGTCAAGTCCGCTCAACTCACAAGTTAAACCGTTCAACACCTAGACTATTAATTGCTCAAGCCCAAGTCTTAAATCGCTCACAAATCGCTCAAAACTGTTTTCTAAATCGCTCAATCAGATCTCTAAATCGCTTAGCATCCTTTGACCGACAAACAGCCTAAGTCACCTACACCTTGAACGATTTACAGGTTAAATCGTCTACTTCTTATGCGATGAAAGGTTATCCGGTCACAGCTCAAGAAATTAATCAATCGATATAACAAAATCCGATCACCAAGAAAAAATAAATCCAACGATTTAATGAAATCGGTCACCAAGTCAAGTAAAAAACCAAGTAAAGAACCTGTGCAATGTAGGATGAATATCGAACAAGATATCTTCGATTTAGGATGAACTCTGCCAGAGATGGAGTCAAAGGTGCGATGAAGAAGGAGAAAAAAGATCGATGAAGATGAAGTTGGACTTCCTGTTTCCGTGATCTGGTATACCAACTACCAAGAAGTGAAAGGGCTGAGAAAGAAATGGACTTTGAGCGATTAAAAACAAAAAACAAAAACAAAAACAATAAAAATTTAACACGAAAATGGATCTAAAACACTAAAAATAAAAAAAAATTAAGAACATAAAAAAATTTAAAAACATTAAATCGATTAAAACTTGAAAAAGAATGATCAAATTTAAAAAGTTTGTGAATAATAAAGATTCACAATATAATTCTGCACAGATTGATCATTGTATTAACATGAAAACACAAAAAAAATTAAAAAATTAAAAAAATTAAAAAAATTAAAAAAATCGGATCAAAAGCAAAGAAAAATGAAGAACCAGATGAATATCATGAAGAACACAAAAAATTTCTTAAAAAAAATTTCAGATCTGAAGATTTCTTCTTCTTGATTTCATGCACAACTTGCTCTCATACCAATTGAAATGCCCAATTTCATACAAATCTGATTATGATCTTCAAGAATTAGAACAAGATGAAGTTTAGAGAGAAAAGATCATCAAATTTCTTTTAGATTGCTTGAGAGAGAATTACAATACTAGTAAGAGAATTACAAAATTGATAATGACAATTACAAAACTAAACACTATTTATATTAGGGAAAGCATTAACTTATCTATTACAAAGCATATAAAATGGAGAACTTGAATACAACAATAACGCACATACTTGAACCCAACATTGTTCCTCAGAGATTTAAATTGCAAAGAGAGTCACAAAAGTTTACTTTAAAGTGAGATTTCAGAAAAGGGTTTTTGGAAGCTGTAAAGCTTCAGAGATAAAATATCTTTGTGAGAGTTGGTAACCAAATACTGAAATGAAATAATAATTAAAAGATAGTATGGATGCAAGATCAGGTTGGATTTCAGCAACGAAGTGTAATGTATATTTCTCTACAAATAGCTCTTTACAACACTACTTGATGGAACGACCTTCCAAGGAAGTGCAAATTAAAGCATATGTTGGAAGTGCACTTGGTGATGCATCAATCCCAAACCAGTACAGATCTTGCCTTTCTTTCGATATAGTTTTGCAACTTATAAGATTACGGCGACTCTTTATAGTCTCTATAACACATTTAGTAATTTTTTTTGTGTTGTGTTAATTTTAAGTCTAACTCATCTGAATAAAATAACTTGTGTCAATTTGTGAAAGATTACCAGATTTTGTTATTAACAATTTGATACCTTTTGTGAATAGTGAAATAATTTGCTATTAACAAGCAAACATCAACTAACACTTGACGTAATCTCACAACCTTCACTTACACCCATACCAAGGTATTTAGCCTAGCATGACTAAAGGTAAGTGTCTAAAAGTAAATGACATAAATGGAAATGACTGAATTTAAATGACGTAAAAGTAAATCTTTCACGAAAAGTAAATAAAGCTGGAAAAATTATTGTAGCAACAGACAGGAATGAAGAACACTGAAAAGTACTTGCAAATTATAAAGTAACAAGGAATCAAAGCTTGGATTAAGCTTTGTTCCTTATGGCAATTGTTTCCAAATGGTTACACACCACACTTCACACAGACACACACATTCAAAGGATTACACACCACTATCTATACTACTAGAGGGGAATCAAAAGGTACAAAAAGGGGTAATAACCAAGGGTCAAAATAAAGATGCCTTAGTATAAGATGCTTTTGGAATATTGTAGGAGCATTATCTATCCAAATTTGCTGCCAGGATTACTAGGAGATGCCTTGTTCAAAACTTTGACCTTTCACCTTATTCAACGAGATTCAGCCTTGTTATGAGCCTTGTTGTGCCAATATCAGCGTCCAGTGCTGCAGCACCTTATACACCTGCTACAACAATGCTTATGTTAACACTTTACGCACCAAATTCATAAGACTACCATTACTACATCCTAGCTCCATTAAATGTAAAACCATAAAATAAGACTAAAAGACTCTGTTGATCATCTCTCTCAGTGATTTGATGATAATCCCTTTTACCATATACGAAGTATTATTGTTTCTGTCTTTCGGTTCCAGCGATCATCACTGAGTATGTTCAGTGATCGCTAAGAACATGTAACATAAATCCATCAGCGACAGCAATACTTCTAGAAGACAAAACTCACACCAAAGAACCTTCAGCAAAAGTTGAAGACTGAAACTGAAGATTAGATACTGGCGAGTTCGTGATCTGAAGCGACATTCAGTGATTACAACGTGGTCTACATATGTGTGAAGACTGCCCAAGCCTCAGCGAATGCTGAAGAGACCTTCAGGGTTATTCCAACATTCAACGATCAAAAGAAGCTTGTTGAACAAGATTGCTTTTGTCTTGTACTTCCACACACAAAGGACAAACTCATACCTTTTCTAGAGTATAGTACGGTACGGAGCTGAGGAGTTGATTCTACTACCCACTAACTCCATGAAAGGATGTCTGCTCATGAATAAGCTTTTGTACTATTCACTATAGCAAAGGACAAGTCTTTCTCTAAAGGCTTGACGCGTGTTCAAACCCTACTGCATTGCAATAAATGTTCATTTAATGCAATGGGTATATGTTAGGTTCGTATTTCACAGTTCTTGGTACTGAATACTTACTTCATTGATTGGATTGACAGTGAGTAAGTAGCGGAAAGTATTATAATCAAACAAGTAGTAATTGGTATGAACAC